ATTGTGAAGGAGTGCATCAGATCAGGTCCGGGCTTGTCCACCATGCAGGATTTCAGCAGTATTCTAAATGCAGGGAGACCTCAGTTAGCCTTTTTCATATGCTCTAAGAAAACAGCACAGACTTGCAAACAGCAAGGATTTGCTATTCTGGAGGCTCCGAAAGATATGATCAAAAAGCCTCAGAGTCCTGTGACAACTGGCTACAGAGTGTTGCCTTCTTGCCACATACTCACAAGATTCTTTGAGGTGCTTTGATAAGGAAGAAATACACCCTTGTCATCTAGTCACCTCAGAAGTACCCACCACTTGATACTCTGCACCAGAGAGGTAGATTTCAATAGATGAACTGTAAAGGGTCACGTTTAGACTCTGAGGGATTTCATGCAGAGGAATAATGTAATCTGCTGTCATTTTTTAAAAAAGATTTATTTATTAATTGTGTACACAGTGTTCTACCTACATATATGTCTACATGCTAGAAGATGGCACCAAGATCTCATTATAGATGGTTGTGAGTCACCATGTGGTTGCTGGGAATTGAACTCAAGACTTCATCAAGAGCAGCCAGTGCTCTTAAGCTCTGAGCCATCTCTTCAGCTCTGATTCATATTTTTAAAAGATCAGTCTGAGTATTGCACTGTGAAAGACTGGGACGGGAAAGTTAGGGTAGGGAAAGATGAGGAGGGCATTGCAAAGGGAGATAATAGAAGCCTGATCCAGTGTTGCTAATGAGCTTCAAATAGGAGGCTTATCACTGATGTACTTAGACCATCAACTATGCAAATGAAACAATGACAAAGTTATGTCATATGAGTTTGTTGTGAGGATAAAGTGTATATAATAAGATTGCATCCTTGCTCCACATAATGTCAATGCTGAATACATGTTACCCAGTCCTTAAAATGATAAAAATAAATTGCTTTTCTTTATCTCCTTTTACTCTCATCTTCCTGAAAGTTGCCACCAGTCCTGAGAAGCCCCCATCCCTTACACATTCCCTTCCTTCTGACCATCTTACCATAGACCTACTGGGAACTAGCCTTGTAAAGAAAAATGCTGATTATTGGTTTTCTCACCCAAATTATAATAATAGTGGATCAATATTTTTAAGAACTAGATCCACACCTCTAATTAAATTGAACAGACACCAGATGGTACCTAGATAGTATTAAATTGATTTTATTTTGTTTTTTCCCTGAATTTAAACATTTAAGTCTTCTTTTCTGAGGGTGGCTTATTGAACCTTTCACATGATTCTTTAGTCCTCTGTGTTTAATTTTATGGTAATATCAAACCTATTTTTGTTTTTTAATGTAATTTCCTCCAAAGCTATTATAATAATGTAAATATAAATTATATTGTCTTGATAAAGAAGACTGAACAGACATGAGACAAGAAAGAAAAATAATATTAAAATGAACTTGGAAAAGGATGAAAGGAACGTGTGTGGGCAATAGGATGCAAAGGTTGTGGATATGGGGAAGTCAACAAGAACTCTATTTCCCACCTCTATTGGCATCGGTGAAATGTGTCTCACTGGTCATATTGAAGTCAGGGAAGGAATCTTTTTAGGATATAAAAAACAAGTTAGTGAATTGTTTTGAGGCAACAGTAGAATTTTCAAAGAGATATATCCAGGGACATCTATTAGATGGGGTGCTGTAGTTGGATGCACTAAATGAGGCAGCTGAGATAAGGTGAACCACTAGAGGAAAACTGTCCTGCAAGGTTGGTTATCCTGCAAGAAGATACATTCAATATCAGGCATCATCAAGGATGTTCTGAGATAGATTGGCATGTAAAGGGGGAAGAAGTAGAAATCCTGTTTCTAACGATTGCTGATCAGAGCCAGTTATTCATTTTAAAGAGTTTTAAACAATTATCTAGACAATATTCAAAGGGCCAAAGGGAATATGCATACAATACCAGGTCAGTCAGTCAGTCGACAAGACAACAAGAATCAAGGCAAAACTGCAACCACATACATCTGTGCACACACATGTACACGGATGAGCATGTGCATACACACATATACCATACACAGAGATGGTTGAGTGTATTCTAACACAACACATGTGAAATACTAAAAATATTTAATTCCAAGAATTAATGTGCATTACTTGAAAACTGCAAAGTGGTAAGTCAGTATTATTAAGATACACATGTAATCTAAAATTTGAGAGAAGACAGAAAAGTGGGGAAGAGAAAGACAGAGTGAGGGAAATCAATATTTCATGGAAAAGTATGACTAATAACAGACACTTCCTGGACCTCCAACATGTATCACACATCCTGATAAGCATAACATTGAAATTATTTCTTTTAATTTTTATATAGTGTATATATTACTTTACACTTAAAGAAGCTGAATGTCTGAGGCATTAAATACTTTAAGATTATACAGCTTGGGGTTGGAGATGGTTCTGTAGTTAAATTTGAGTACTGCTTTTACAAGGACTCAAGTTTAAATCCTAGTACCCATTTTGGGATACCCACAACCACCCATAACTCCAGCTCTGAAAATCTGACATCCTCTTCTTGACTCTGCAGGTACCTACACTCACACATGTACAAATCCAATGCAGACATGCACACATACACTTAATTAAAAATAAATTAAGGGCTGAGACTGGAGAGATGGCTCAGCAGTTAAGAGTTGGTTGCTCTTCCAGAGGTCCTGAGTTCAATTGCCAGCAACCACAAGGTGACCCACAAAAATCTATAGAGAGATCTGATTGCCTTTTCTGGCATGCATGTGTACATGCAGATAAATCATTCAATATATAAATAAATAAAGCTTTACAAATAAAATAAATCTTTTAAAAAAGATCAACTTGTTTATAATGATTAAAAACCAAGGTTGATTCTGGGTACATCTTATTATAATATTTGTGTTACTTGAAGTGTTACCTATGATTCTATAAAGAAAGAACATGAGAGACGCTGAAGCAAGGTGTTTGTGCCCTGAATTACTTGTGTAACAGACTTCTCTGTGTGGACTTCGCCTAAGGTTTCCACATGTATCTAAATCACCCTCACAACTTTTATCTGCATAAGAAGTGGAATAAAACACTGCCTTACAACCTGTGGGGCTCCCCAGCCTCTGAGAAGAGCTGGTTGTTCCAAAACACACCTCCACCAATTCTCTTCCACTCACACCAAGTCAAGAGCTTGGGTGCTGCAGCTGAAAGAAGGACCAAGCACAGAGGACAAAGTTCCCTGGCTACTGCACTGCTAGATAGCAGACTTCCGTTTCCACATCACCTACTGGAGCTCAGATGGAGCCCCTGCACTGGTTTCTAGTAAATCTGTAGAGAGGATGCCAAGTTCTGTCCAACCCAGAATACTTAGATTGCTTTGTTTTAGTTTTAGCTAGGGACCAAACCAGGGTCTCACACGTGATTGACAAGCACTCTGTCACAGAACTGCATCCCAGTCCTGTTGATATTGTTTCCTTGTTTTCCTGTGGTGAAAATTAAATGAAGAATTACACACATTCTAAGCAAGTTTTCTACCACAGAGGTCTATCTGCAGTCCCAGAGTTCTTCCTTAAAGTGGCATTAAGGATGGTTTTCATTTCCACATTATACTCATTCAAGCACATAGCAGACAGTGGGGAAGTGGTTATGGCTCCTGGTACTGACTCATAGATTCACCCATGTTGATCTTGCCCATGGCATGAGCCTGCCACACTGTAAGGATACCCTCTAAGAACAGTTAGTTCCCAGGTCACAGCTTTGAAGGCAGGCATCTACCCTTCAAACAAAGGCCAATGAGAATGAATTGTCGGCAGCTGGGAAAGTGAATGACTTCTTGGGGAAAGTCAATCATTGAAGTTCATGTTAATGTAGGAAAAAATATTGCTGAGAAGAAAGAAGAGTTCAAATTTATAAAGGTATCATGGCCAAAGAGGAAAAAATTAAACCTGAAGAGATATAAGAATTACTACAATGAACATGGACATGCACTAGTTCCTAGCCTATCATAAAAAAATATTAATTTTACCTTCTGTGTATGAATGGTTGCCTACATGTATGTATGTGCACCATGTGCCTGGTGCCTGAGAAGGTCAGAAGAGGGAGCCTGATCTCCTGGAACCTGAGTTACAGAAGGTTGTGAGCCACCAACCTGAGTTACAGAAGGTTGTGAGCCACCAGCTGGCAGAGGATCAGGTCCTCTGCAGAGCAGGAGGTGCTCTTAACTGATGGACCAGGTCTCCATGAGATTGTCGGGGGACCGGGTATGCATGTTTTGAGCTAATTCTTCAGACCCCAGACCATGATTTTCTGCAAAGAGTTTCTCCGTGAGACTGTGTGTGTGTGTGTGTGTGTGTGTGTGTGTGTGTGTGTGTGTGTGTGTGTGTGTAGCCACAGTATGCATGTGGAGGCCAGAGGGCTACTTTGAGGAACTGGTTGTCGTCCCCCCCACACACACACACCTTTGCATGAGTTCTGGGGATTGCAGTCAGATCATTAGACTTGTGTGACAGAAGGTTTTACCCATTGACCCATCCAACTTCCTTCCACTGGACAGTAATCACATCAATGATGTAGCTTTTCAAGATATAGCTTTCTGTAGACATCATAAGCCTAGCAACCCACTGGACAGCCAACTCTTTAGTGTCTTTGTCCTTTGTCCTAGACTCTTGATTCTATTGAAAATATTAACTGGTTGTTATCACAGTCAATTTCAAGCTTTTGAAACTGGTGTGTGTCTTTAAAATTATATATTTATTTATTTATCATGTATGTGTGTGTGCACATGCACACATGAATCATGGCAAACAGAGGTAACAGGACAACTTGCAGACTGGAGTAGGTTCCCTCCTTCTACCACGTGGGTCATGGGGATAGAACTCAAGTTGTGTGTTATGGTAGCAGGTGACCTCACCATCCCACAAGTACCAACATAAAGTTTCTAACATTACAAAGCCCTGCAGCTTGTGGCTTGTTCATGTTCCCTTTTATTCCCATATTCAATGCATCAGTTTCTTTTTACAGGCCATCTATTTTCTTAGAGTCTAGAAGACAGTGGAAGTCTGGAAGCTATTTTTTAAAGCCATCAACTCCTCCACCATATCTCCTCCTTCTAAGTAAGTCTGTGAAATGGATTTCCTTTACACAATGTGAGTTGATGTTTAGGCTTTTGCTATGGCTGCATCTTACTTCCAGGTACCAGCTACTCTATTATAGAGCATTGGTGATTCTACAGCTAATACTAAGGTCTGGACACAGCAATAAATACTGGCCTAATTAAAAAACTGATAGGATTTTGGGTGCAAGAGCTGATGGTGGGTGATACAGAAACTGTTTATGGGCTGTTTATAATAACCTTTGGTTTCTACTTATCCCATTAATAAATGGAACAGAGAGAATTACAGAGTAGTCTGATTTTATTTTATAATTGATAATCACATGTGCATCCAATTGTCAAAAGGCCTCTGAAAAAATCTAACTGGACAAAATTAACCTTTTAATTGTTGGATCAAAATATGCTTTTGGAGTTATGAACCACTTCTGAAAGGGACAAGTTAAGGAAGGCTGGGCAGCATTACTTACTTACTAACCAGAGTACTCGGTGTACTTAGAAGTTTGGCAATTTACCCTGCTTTCATGGTACACACATACATATGCAGAATTCTAAGCCTAGGTGAAGGAAATTGACAAAGTCTTGTGTGCCTCTGGGAATCTGAGTAAGAGTTTTGCATTTGTGAGCACTTTAGAAATGGTGACTCAGGGAGACTCAGACAATAGAGTTTTTCCTCATCAGTTTTTTTTTTTTTTAACTTGAAATATTTGCACATTCAACAGCAGTCAAGGTTTCCTTATTCTCCTTATCCCCTCAGGCCTGTGGTCTACCAGCCCCTGCCAGGTTAGGGTTTTGCAAACTTTGCCAAAATAGGACAATTTAATCACTTTGCTTTTTCTGTTTTGTTTTTTGTTTAAAGAAAGACAGAGACAAGAAATTATTTTCAGAAGGAAAAAAATTGCAGATTTCTAGTTTTATGTTTTTCTTTTTAAACAGCTACACCTAGTTGGCTAATGTGTCTCACACAACTCAATCAGAACATTTGCATATAAAATCTTTTGCTGTTTTCCTGACAGTGTTGAGTATGAGGAGAGGTGTTTGCCGGCAGCTGGAGAAATTTTGAATCCTGGGATGGAGGTAAGGTCTATACATCACCTAATTGCAGTCTATTACAGCGCTGCCGTTAGCCTTCTATCCTACCGTGGGCAGATTTTCTCTGAATGATGGTGAGCAGACTCCAGACAGCTGCTGAGTTGCCTGAAGTATGGCACTATTTGAATATTGATGCACTTTGAGGGAATATAATGAATGAAACTGAGCTGTCTTCTCTCTAAAAGCTTGCCGTGAGGCACAGGAAGCCATCTGCACACCTACAGCTACACCAGGCTTGCCACACTGTGCTGTTTCACTGTGGGGGTCACAGTGGCCTTGGGATAAGGGCAAGCACTCTGCTGTTAGCCTGGTGACCTCTCCATTCTTCTCACTTTCATCTCCACAGCTTGGTATTCCTTCCTGATGATTTTCTTTAGTGCTGAAGAGGTGTTCCTCTTTATCTCTTCCCTTTCTTTCACCTGAACATCAGCAACTTGGCTTTAGAATTGAACTTGTTCCTTCTGTTGGTGGAGAACTGAACAGACAGAGAAACTTTGGAAGTAATTCACCCTCTTTCGAGTGATTTTTTTTCCTTTGAGATGGGGTCTCATATAGCCAAGACCATCCTCCAACTTTCTATGCAGCCAGTAATGAGTTGAATTTTTAATCCTCCACCTCTAACTCCCAAGTGCCGGGCTAGTGTCACCAGGCTCAGTTCATTTGGTTCTGAGAACCAAACTCAGGATTGCCTGGACCCTGTCTTTCCCAGAAGCACTTTCCGACAGTGTCTGTGTCCTTATTTGTAGTTTCCACTTTCAAGTTACATGGAGACTGGTTTCTAGATTCTTGATGCTTCTGTGTATGGCGGCAAGACGGAATTGTGCTCTTCAGTGATGAGGTATCCACAGAAGGTAGGGAAGAAATCACACATTGGGAGGAAGGAGCCAAGCCTAATGATTTTCCTCAAGTAGAAATATGGTGGATACGGGGAAATCTCTGTATCGTGATGCGTGTGTTTTCCTTTGTTCTAACTGCATTCATTAGACATTCTTCTACACTAGGCTCTAGGCTCTAGGTGGTGGAACACCGTCAGGTTGCCTTTGTAGTTCTCAAGAGACATGCAAACAACTAATATTTTGTTTTATTATTCTTAAAGTTCATATTAATTCATTTGTAAGAACCTAACTTAAACAGTTTTTGTTTTAAAACACTTTAGAAATCTTTCAGATATTTCAAGAATCAGAAAAATTTAAAAATTCTGTCAATACCATGATTTTTATATATGGGCATTACATGTGTATCTTTTGAGGGTTTCTTGGCATTTAAATAATATAGGGGATTAGTAATGAACATCATTTGAGAAAATAGGAAACAAGGACATTTCACAACACTGAGAACATTAAATCATTTTACACTATTAGTAAGAGGTAAGAAATGTTACTTTTAACTGAAAATGTTTAATTTATTTTAGCTGATTTTTATGAGCAATGTCTAACTGTGGTTATAAAGGTAAGGCTGGGAAAGCAGTAACTTAATAATTGAACAATATAAAACTGTAATTGATATTCATAAAATATGATGTGTGTGTGGGAGAGAAGTGTCTATGAAGGAGATAAGATAAAACAGATTTTAAATATCTGACTTAAAATTTATCAGATAAAAATATGGAGTAAAATCTTAGAACTTAGTTGCATAATTATTCTCTTTGTGAAACAGATTTATATCTAACAGATGTATCTAAGGGGATCTTTTGATGCTTTTAATGTTTTGGAGTTTAAATTTTTTTAAACAAATAACAACATGTTTTCCTAATACAGCAAGGTGTGCCTTCCATCCCACTGGTAAAGAACACATCTCTGTCTGTATTGCCCTGTAACACTCTCCTAGAGAATCTCTTTGAAGCTCATTTTGTGATTTTATTTTCTCCAATTTTATACTTGAAATCTGAACGTGAGTCACTCTAATTGACTTACATTCTTGTAAAAATTTTTCAGAATTAATTTTATCAGCCATTTGCAACACAGCCTGGTGCTCATCACTTGGAGGATACTATTGAAGGGGAACTTAATTGGATGAGATTTATTTCTCCCCCACACACCATTACAGATGCTATAGAAATGTGTGTACAGCTAAAGGAGAAATGGGGAACAGGCTTTTCTTTCTTCGGCATAGTATTTAAGTAATATTATTACCGTATTAATCAGTACCCAGAGTGACATGGAACACAGTGCTTTGATTTTTCTGAATTCTAATTGAAACTGAAAATCAAGTAGTAGCTCTTTTGAATTGCTTTTCACTGATTTAGAACGTATGCAAATCTGTCTAGAATAAAATAAAATCTTCCTGAACAATCAATTCAGCACAATTATTTATGGAGAGTCAGGCTGCATCTATGAAACTCAGGTAATCACTCTGAATCTCTGATGAGCTGATTATTCAAATCAGTGGTCAATTAAGATGGTCATCTTATCTATATAATTATTAGAGTAATGTACATCAAGTCATACATACTCCTTTTTTAAAATGGCTGTACATTTCTGCTGACATGTGGGACTGCCCCTTCTTTTGCCTTCACAGATGGATCTGTGATTTTTCACAGACATCAGGACCCAGCATTCAGGTGAATGATAAGGACATGAGTCAGAAAGGTGGAGGAACAACTTCACACAGACTGAAGGGAAACTCGGAGGAAGAGAGCACAATACACATCTAATGCTGAAGAGGCTGAGCACAGTAATGACAGGAATGCATGAGCATGAAAACGCACAGGCAATCCATGGCAGAAAGAGAACCCACAGAGAAGAAAGACGTTACATTAGCCAACACCTATGGCAATTACCACACAATGCTGAGGTCGATGCAAAACTTTGAACTGACATATTTTGGAAACTGAGTCCAAGAAACAGAAGAAGGAATGGAAATGGGAGGGATAAAAGCCAGTTCATGGGATCGCATCAAATCTGTTCGTACGGGAGCTGCCAGATATCAGTTCTGTTCAGGAGCTTCAAAAACTCAGGAATGGGATTCAGAGTTCTGTTTTGGTGGGAAAAGATGTTTATCCACCACCTACTAAACTCTGAATCAAGACTCCATTATGTTTGCAGGTTTTCACAAGCATCTGAACCCTAAGTGGGATTTGCTAATGCTCAAATAATTATCAAACTCTATAGCAGAACATGAAGGATATTCAATCCATACAATTTAACATGCAAGTATCACCATAGCAACTGAGGTCAAAAGATGGGCAGAAAGGATCTGATCCAGAGCAGGTGAGTATCTAGAATGACCTGCTCCCTCAGACTACAGAGACCTACAAATTTCTCACATTGGACCCACCAAAGACGCATCACAATGCTGGTTGCCTGTAGTATGCAAAACTGACTTATATAGTATTAGTCTCAGCTACTGCATCCTAACACATTTCAGTAGCTTATCTTCCTCCTCTAGCACCTATTCAGAATTTTCTTTGAGTTTGGATTGCTTGGTTAATGAGAAAAATCTCAAATATCTTTTCCCCAAAAGGATATATCCTTTAGTTGCTTTACCCCTGTAGGGACATGGTTGTTGGCAATTCTCATTTACTTTTATCACTATGTGTAGATGCACCAAGACATGCTCTGCAGGCTTCTTCAACTTCAGAAGAATTCCTAGTAGCAAATGTCCAATCAGATTCAATTCCTCTAGACAGTGTGGTACCTCCTGTTCTAACCCTTATGCTTTAAGTCAATTCCTCCTATGTGTTCATCCATGAAGGGTGCTGGCATGGTGACAGTCCATTGTCAGCTGCATCAACTTGCACATCAAATTCATTTCTGAACCACTTGTGGGCTTTTTTATTCCGTTACATGACAGAGACTATACTTTCCCTTCCATGAGGCCATACTGTGAGTTGCAAGCAGGGGGAGGGGGAGTGTTTTACTGGTCCAGCTAGTTAAAAAAAACAAAAGTGATTGGTCCCCCTCCTTGCCTGAGCAGTGCAGGAGAGCTGGCCCAGGTGACTTGGGTGCTGAAGAGCTGGTGGGCTGACAGACTCAACTACCACTCATGCCCAGATTCAGAGATTTGAGTTGGGCCACCCCAACATCTATGAGCTACTGGAGTGTGTGAAGGAGCTGGTCCTGTGGAACCATATCTGCAGGATCTCCATGTCTCAGGACAACAGCAGAATACCCAAGAGGAGTCTATGTGAGGGTCCAGTGTTGATGGTGTAGAAGAAGCCAGAAGCCTTGAACCAGGCCAATGACTCATTGCAATGAACACTTGCAAGTAAAGCTGATTGGGCAAAGGGGTATACAATGTGACACTGTAGCTTCCAATGCCACTATGACAAATGAATATGTGATGGAGATTCGGGAAAGATAGAGGAGTAGACTGGTATATGCATCACAGAACTGCAGAAGTTGAGTGAAAGTTGTAGGCTGCAATTGATAGAGGAGCAGGTCATTTTCAGAAGGGTCAAATATTTTTTTTTTGAGGGGGAAGTTACAAGGGTGGAGGGCAGATACAGAAGGACTGGGAAATGAACAGGATTGAGGTGCATGATATAAAATTCCCAAAGGATCCATAAAAAATTACGTTTTAAAAAATGTGACTGGGCTGGGCTGGCGGTGGCGGTGGCGGTGGTGGTGGTGGTGCATGCCTTTAATCCCAGCACTTGAGAGGCAGAGCCAGGCAGATCTCTGTGAGTTTGAGGCCAGCCTGGTCTACAGAGTGAGATCCAGGAAAGGCACCAAAACTACACGGAGAAACACTGTCTCGAAAAAAAATTGTGACTGGTGTGGGAATCTAAACCACATTTTCATGACATTCAATGATGACCTCCTAACCTACTAAACCAAACCCAAATTTGCCATTTTGGTCATAGTGACAGATTGTTATTGCACCTGACCATCCATCTTACTCAGTTGTTATGACAAAGCCAACTTTTTGATAGGACACATTTGTTATATAGTTACTTGATATCCCATGATCAAACACTCCTACTAGGACCAGGCAGCCTGCTAGTAACATTTGTTTTCTATCATTTTGTTCCCCTTTCTCTGTCTGCCAGGCTGGCTTCAAACTTTCAGTCCTCCTGCCTCAGCTTCCTGAGTACCTGGATTACCTTTGCCCCCATTCACCTTGTACAGATGCAGGAGTCAGGGACTACTCTAAGACATCAGCTCTGACCAGACATAAGATGTGCTGTTTCACCTTGGTGTTGGAATTCCCAGCCTCAGAACTAAAGAAATGAACATATACAGTTTCTAAGCTGCCCAGTTTATGGTATATGTGATGATATATTAGTTATTTTTCTATGACTGTGAAACACCATGACCAAGACAATTTGAAGGAAGTGTTTATTTGGGTTTTAGTTCTAGAGGGATAATTGTCCATCCCTGTCACAGGAAGAAGCAAGCATGGAAGCAGGCATGGTAGTTAGAACAGGAAGCTTAGGGCTCACAATCTAGAACCATAACCAGGAAGCAGAGAGAGCGAACTTGGAGTAGGGTTAGGTCTTAGGCTCTCAAAGCCTCCCCGCCAGTGACCTACTTAGTCCAGCAAGACCACACCTCCTAAACCTCCCTAAGCAGTTTCAACAACTGAAAATCAAGTGTTTAAAAGCATGAGCATGTGAGGCTCAGGGGGCATCAGCATTCAAATCACTGCTTGTAGCAACATGAGTAGAACAAGATAGGTTTAAACTCCACAGTTCCTCCCGGATTATAAATTCCATTTTAGTGGCACTGGGAACGTGGAGGGTGGTAAGACAATGACAGAAACTCCACATTTCCTGTAATAAGATTGTCCCTCCACAGGTCAGGGAAGCCTGCTGGTTTTTGTCACATTATAATTCTGAATCTCCATCAATTTGATATTCTAAAGAATAGCACATTAATTTAAGATATTGATGAAAATGCAAACCAAGAAGCAAAAGTATTGTGTGATATCTAGTCACCAAAAACAGACCTGAAAGCAGTAGTATTACCTATTGGAGATTCAGAAACACTTAACAGCAATGAAGAGTGGGTGGTCGAATAGTCTGAGACATATTGTCACTGTCTCTCGGCAGTGACAGACATAGACATATCAACTATACATTCAGGAAATGTGTGACCATAGAGTAAGCCCACGAACTCAGTGAACCCATTGTCAGAGATACTTGGGCCAGGTCTTTGTATAACCATTGATCTCTTATATTTGAATCACCACGTCAGTTTGGACTGTTTGACTTCTGATTGGAAGGTCAGCTATAGCATCTAATAATATTCAAAAATATTAAAAGTTTCCTCGTGCTACGTTAATGGCTTATAGTACCTTTGGTAAAAGATGGGGAAAATGATTCTTGTATTCTTGTTCAATAGTGCTGTAAAGTTATTCCTTAAGGGGGCCCTTCTTGAACCTCAGCAATGAAGCTGAAAACAACTAAGCCCTGTAACATGGTGGTGTTCCATCCTGAGATTTGACTCGAAGCAGCATTAGGGAGGAAGATTCCTGTAGGTGGTGGGTTGAGCTGAGGGCAAGGGAGGATGAATCGGTGGCTTTTGTAACAACAGAAGCACTTTACAGTACAAGGACAGTGGTGACTCTGAAGGCTGTGGGTCTGGTTGGCTTACATAAGTGCTTTTAGAGGCTTTGAGGGTAGGAAACAGAAAACAGGTTAAACAGCTAAACAAAGAAAGACACATAAAGGAGACAAAGCGTGACAGCGTACTGCCAGTGGAAGCTTGCTTACTCAGGCCTGAACTTCCTAGCTGACCCTACAATAGCCCATGTGGTGTTAATATGCTAAAACTGCATAAGTAAAAATACCATAACAGAAACTATCGACCTGTTTCCATAGTGCTCATCACCACGTTGCACCCGTCTGCTTTGGTGTCTATAGAAGAACGGCTGCCATTACTGGTCTGTGGGCTTGGGTGTCACATGCAGAGGTTGGAACTGCATCTCTGAAGTTAACTTAAGCACATTGTTCAACAGTTTATCATGTCAATAAAACGAAAATGAGTGATTTTGTGAAAAGCCATGGTTTAGCGTCTCAGAATAAGTTAAGTGAAGAGATTAGGTGAGTCTGTTCTTGAGCAACGACCTCTTAGGTTAGGTTTTCTTCAATCTGACCATTATTTCTGTGGCATATTTTTTTAAAGCACAGTGTCACTGATTCAATCTCAGAGTAAAGGGGCTATCTCCCAATACTGGTTGGTGAAATGCATGGAATTTATTGTTGGGGGTGGGGATAAACAGGTACAGAAGACATGAGTATTTCTGTTCATGTTTGGGACTTGTCTAAATCTATCACCTGCTTTAAAAAACAGAATCAACTTTGCTGATCACTGAAGAGAAGTATTCAGCTTCTAGCAGACCCCTTATCACCCAGTACTCAGCCACCACCCAGTAGAGTGACTGTTGGCTAAGCCTCCCACCTTGGTATATCTGCTTCCACACCAGAAATATAAGGAGCACCTAAAAGGATTAATGTGCTCATATGTGAAGCTTCCTCCAGCTCTGACATTCAGGAATGCCACGATTCCATATCTAAGAGTCCATGGTACACACACCCTATAGAGATGACTTCTGAGCTTAGCCAGTGTGTCACAGAGCCCCCACCATGTCTCTGAAGTGGGAAGGCAACAGCTCCCTTTGCAGGGTTCTCAAAAGCAAAGCATGAGTTCTTCTCCACTGGAGTCATCTTGCTCCTAGATTTTATCTGAGCACCATTACAGCCATTTCCTCTGAATGTCCTATCCCTTCACATCTAACTCACCAGTGGTCATAAATCAGAATCCTGGTAGGGAATAAGCCATCCAGGCAGAATTGAATAGTTTCTGGTTCTGCTGACAGTAATTTTAAATGACTCTCTCTGCCCTTGCCTTTGTGACAGTGTCCTCTCTGTGCAGAATTTTCTTCTTTAAAGACTTCCCTAAAGTTTTAACTTGCTTCCTTCATTATGTTTCCTTACAGAAAAATTCTATGCTCAGTATTGCTTTAGCAACAGTCCTCTGCTCTCACACCCTTAGAGCTGGCTCACCTGAGACCCCGCCAACACGGTCAGCTCTACTGCGCTGCCTGGGCAAGGTGCAAGGTCTGCTTTCTTGAGTGTTGTAGCTAGTGAGGGGCAGTGCCAGTTCTCCCACTCTCATGACCCCGGGACCAGCTCTCCTGCCTGTCAGAAGCATTGAGGGGCAGGGGATAAGGGAGGGCATCTCTCCCCTGCCTGCTCCACCATATGGTAGACAAGGGATGGGGCCAGACCTCCCATGCATGTTCATGGGGCCAGGTCATCTGTGTGTAGATGTCATTCTAAATGGTCTTATTAAATAAGAAACACAGAGCCAAATAAAGAGTTAAAAGCCCAGAGATCTAGCAGTAGCCAAGAGCTAAGACCACCTTATCTTACCACTCGCTGCCTCTGCTGTCCTTCCCCTGAGAGAGAGACCTTCATCCTTCATCCTTCATGTCTTTTTTTAAAGATTTATTTATTTATTTATTTATTTATTTATTTATTTATTTATTTATTTATTTATTATGTATACAATGTTCTGCCTGCATGTATGTCTGCAGACCAGAAGAGGGCACCAGATCTCATTACAGATGGTTGTGAGCCACCATGTGGTTGCTGGGAATTGAACTCAAGACCTCTGGAAGAGCGGTCAGTGCCCTTAACCTCTGAGCTATCTCTCCAGCCCGTGTCCTGTCTTTTTATTGCCTTTCTCTTCTGCCTTCTCATTGGTTCTAGACCCAACCATATGACTTCCTCGTCACTGCCTGTCTATACAGACCTCTAGGTCTCTATGGTTCATACTGAGATTAAAGGTTTGGGCCACCACTTAGCTGTGTCCTTAAACACACAGAGATACGGCCTGCCATGTGATCGGATTAAGGGCGTGTGCCACCACCGCCAGACTTCTGCTAAATGGCTCACTCTTATCTCTGATCTCCAGGCAACTTTATTAACATACAAATAAAATCACATTTCAGCACAAATAAAGTATCACCATATCTGTGCCCCTCCCTACCAACAGGGTCAGCTCTATTGTGCTGCCCAGGTGAGGTATAATGCCTACACTCCCAGGTGCTGCAGCCAGTGAAGGGCAGGGTCAGCTCTCCTACTCCTGTGACCCCAGGACCAGAGCAGGTGAGCTGATCCTGGCCACCCTCTCTCATCTGCCATGTGGTGGCATGGGTAGGAAAGATGTCCTCTTCCCCCTTGCCCCTTGCCACCTGCGGCAGGCAGTAGAGCTGGCCCCAGGATCACGAGAGTGGGAGAGCTGGCCCTGCACCTCACCAGCTGCAGCACATAAGAGAGTAGACCCTGAACCTCACCTGGGCAGCACACTGCAGCTGACCCTGTAGGTGGGGGCACAGGTGAACTAGCCCTGGGGGCATGGGAGCAGGAGAGCTGACCCTGCTCCTTGCTGCCTGCTGCAGTGGGTAAGCTTACCAGCCATGGTACTGTGGAAGAGCTTGCCCTGGTTGTGAGATGATGAGGGATGGGAGAAAGCTGGCAGGCAGGCTGATGAACCCAGCTATCACCCAGGCTCAGAACCAGGGCTATGAGTTGGCCCACCCCAACCATGAACTGCTGGAGATGTGAGGGGCTGGACCTGCAGATCCAAAGCTGCAGGATCTCCACGACACAAGGCAACAAGAGGATATCCAAGAGGACTCCTAGTGAAGGCCCAGTATCAG